GTATTAAAGTAAACGTTGTATTTTATTTTCACTATTTTAATTGGAGAATTTTTAATTGGCGTTTCTTGCTAAATAACAATTTAGATCGTAGTTTATAATTATTGGAAGTATTAAATGAGTTTGTCGCATGATGTAACTTAATAAAACAGCTTAATTTATTAATTTCGTATTGAATTAACAATTGCATGCAGTGGATTAGTTAGAAATTGTTTATAATTTTTATTCGACATTTAAAAATTAATGTTCTTCTCGTATGAATTACAGATGGATCTTTCGGGCTACCGCGGAAACTTGCGCAAGAATAGCTTAGGGATACCGAAAAATTTCGAATTTCTGAGAAATGGTTGACTTGCACTACTGGCTATTTTCGATATCTGACTTATGGTTGACTTCCCCTATTACCTTCGAGCCATTTCATAAAATTTTTAGACGGAAGCTAATTGGGGAAGTGAACCGTAAGTCAGAGATTGAAATTTGTTGTCTGAAAAATTATACAGTTAACCCATACATATACATTTACATTGTATCAAATCTTATATTTCGTGTACGTACCTTCGAGCCATTTCATAAAATTTTTAGACGGAAGCTAATTGGGGAAGTGAACCGTAAGTCAGAGATCGAAATTTGTTGTCTGAAAAATTATACAGTTAACCCATACATATACATTTACATTGTATCAAATCGTATATTTCGTGTACGATCATACGATATCTAGTCCTATACCTTGTTCATAGTTACTTTTAATTCTAATTCCAGCCACTACTAACGTCGTCATCTTATTCTACGCTGAATCGGTAACGTCGGAAGCGACACGAAAATGGTAAGGGCACTCTCAGCCCTCTTGACGTGGACAAAAAAATGCATCAGGTGTTACGTCTCTCCTGTGTACCTCGTCTACGAACGAGCCATCTCATGAAAATTAATTCTTCCAGCTCGATATTTACAAAATCGTGGAAACTATAGCAGGTGATTCCATTAAAACCGATTTTATACAAAAAGCATTACGCATCCCCGATTTGGGGTCGAATTTCATCAATAAATTATACATTATATTTATCCTCCAATCATTCGTAATCCTCATATCGTGCATTTCCATTAATGTCCACTTAACTCCCGGACAACGTGTGTGTCCCGATAATTATTCTCTCGCGATCCAGTGTCACCTCAGAAATTCAACACCGTCCAGGGTATGTATTCCGATCCCCAGAACCTCTCTCCGATACCTCTTCCACTCGAATCGCAAGAACAATCGATTAGTAAAACCTGTATCGTTTACCAGAGGGAGCCAAAGTATATACCTATTACTTCCTCTACTAAACGATCACGTGGTGTCGTTCGAAACGATCGAACGATCGAAAAATGAAAATTACCACACGCATATACAGTTTCACTCTGACAATGAAAATTGTGACGTGACAAGACGATCGCAGGTGTACGTAACCAGGCGAAATCTGCGAGTCCGTATGCAAGTGGTTGCGCCAGGTACTCTTGCAGATCTCTTTTAGGGCGGAAGTGGAGCACCTTCCGACCGATATACGCAACAACGGCGAAGTGGGTGTCGATGAGGACGTAGGTAGGGATACAGACGATGCTACGGGGAGTAGGCAATAGCATGGGGATAGGCCGTAATTGGTATAAAATCATCGAGCAAACACATCGGACAAGACAGCCCGAGGGTTGTGGGCGGCGTTACGTGCCGTTACCTTGGCAACCGTGGGGCGACTCTGCTAAAGCACCCCTTCGCCTTGATTGCGCACAGGCCCATCCGCCCCTGTGTACGTACGCTCTGCTCACCGTGCAAGTGTGCGCGTGTCGTGCGCGCGCGCGTACTGCGTGTACCTAACACATATATATATATATATGTATACATCCAGGAAAGCTCCACCTGGCCCCGTCCACATGCCAGATTTACAACTCTCGCACACATATTCCCTCTTTTCCGTGCATACACGTTGCTGCGCGGCCTCT